TATTGAACAATTGAACACAGAACACAACCTTTAAATAGATTTTAGAATATAAACTGTTTATCGTATATTCAATAACACTAGTGTGTGCCTGTGTGCCTCATTGTGCATTAACTTGAATCAAGCCCAACAAATGTCTGTTTTAAAAACAGTGGATGAGTAATTCACTCCTTGATTTGCTTAATAAAAGCCTCCTTTGAGATCGTTTTGACAGACATGTTTATTGTGCATTTTAAACGTGTTTATTGCTAAGTTTAGTGTGGCAGAATAGAAGCGCAGCTGTAATTTGTGGGCAAGGTATGTGGTTACCATGACAACCTCACGCATTTGCCACTGCTCTATGTGAATGTGAATATGTAGATTTACTATAGCAAAACTAAAATGTGTTTAAAAGTACGTCTGACCAAATCCACCGGTTCGGTTTGGCCCCCCCAAACTCAAACGTCAAGCTACGCCTATGACTGTATGGTCATCCAGGCTCCTAGTATTCACACGGCAGAATGAGGGTGGTGTGTGTTAGGGCTGTCAAAATGACTGAAAAACTACATTCAAATTTTGTACTGAAATATTATCAATATTCAAATTTAAAGGGCATAATTTCAGTTATGGGGAAAATCTAGAGGGCGCGTCGAGCAAAATATTACTAATGCACGTTTCTTCAAAGCAATAAAATAACACGACAATCTTTGAAAAAAGTGCATAATGTTTAAAATAATGTTTATGAACCATATATAATTAAGTTGCTTAAACAAACGGAAACAAAACAGCATCATGCATGTATGTATAGTTTAATACAAAGGACCGAAAACCAATCACAAAGAGTCCTTTCTTTATTTAAAAACATGAGATGCAGAAAGTGCATAATGTTTCAAATAATGTTTATGAACCATATATAATTAAGTTGCTTAAACAAACGGAAACAAAACAGCATCATGCATGTATGTACAGTTTAATACAAAGGACCGAAAACCAATCACAAAGATGCAGTGGGATGGGGAAAAACCGCCATAACGTCTCGAGACATGCTTTTTAAAAGTTGAACTTACGTTAATTTTACATAGCTTTCGAACCATGCGGCGAGTTCAACGGTGATAGATGTCCCTCTAGAAAATGTGATAAATATGTGTTCTGTGTTAACGGCTTGGTTTCGGTTAACTTTTGACATAAACAACATTCTCCGCAATGATGTTCTCTTTTTCCGCAATATTTTGAATGAACAATGTAGCAGCGACGCATCCAGTGGGTTCAACTGGAAAAGGCTGCAAACGAACAGCGCGCATCTGAAGTGTCTCTGAAGGAAATAATGCATTATTTATCGGCTTTAAGATATCGGCCAAATTTTCTTATCAGGCCGATACCGATAACAGAAAAAATGAGCCGATATGGGCCGATAACGATATGGTGGCCGATATATCGTGCATCCCTAATATGAATATTCGAAATTCGATTTTTTTTTACGACAGCCCTAGTGTGTGTTACCTGTCAGCGCTCCTCTGCTCTGCACCTCTTGTTCTCGTCGCTCCAGCTTGGCTGCTTTCCTCTCCAGCTCCTCCTGCTGTTTGAGCAGATTGCCCTGCGCAGCTGCAGCCACGGCCTGCGCAGACAGACACGGCCCGTTACAGCCTTTAAAATCAGACTGGTATATTGATGGATGTGTGTGTGTGTGTGTGTGTGTGTGTGTGTGTGAGAGAGAGAGAGACGCTGACCTTTGGACGCGGCTCCACTGACGGCTGCAGGACGGCGGCCTGAGACAGGAATTATTGGGATTTTAACGATGTGATAAAATTGTATTTATTTCATGATAAAATGCAAAACACTGGTATTTTGTATCATATTGCTGCTGGAGCATTACTTGGGGTTGTATCTTGAGATATAAAACTGTTTTACAATGGACCAAATGAGTTTAACCGTGGTAAAATCAGCGGAGCTCATGGCCTCAAGTAGCTTACTGCTTCATTACATCAGAGTTCAGAGCACAATTATGACTCTGCTCAAGATATTCATCTTACACAATCACTGAAGGAGTGCTCGACTCACCGTCACAGAGTTGCCATCAGGAAATGGATTGAAACTTTCAATGTGATCGATTCCAGAGTTGGTCACCTGCGTGACAGACGGATCCTGAAAGAGATGAACACTATCATTATTACATTTACATTTAGTCATTTAGCAGATGCTTTTATCCAAAGTGACTTACAAACGAGGACAATGGAAGCAATCAAATTCAACAAAAGAGTTTATTAATTTTATATTAGAATTATATTATTAGTTTTATATTAATATTATTAAATAATAATACATTTCTATATTATACATACACAGAAGGACGGGGCACACAGTTAATAATAAACAATATTACTTAAACACATACAGTACATACATACACATACACACACACACACTATAAGTAATATTGTTTATTAACTGTGTGTGCCCCATCCTTCTATGTATGTATAATATAGAAATTAATATACATGAAAATGTACATGTGTGTGTTTGTATCTAAATATTAGATGAAAAATTCAATAAAATTTAGAAGTACTGAGTAATTTAATTTAAATTTAAATTAATTAGATATAAATTATATACAATAGTGCTAATCGCGATTAATCGCATCCAAAATAAAAGTTTGTTTACATAATATATGTGTGTGTACTGTGTATATTTATTATGTATATATAAATACAAACACATACAGTATATATTTAAAAAATATTTTATTTATACACATATTTACATGCATTTATTCATATTCTTATATTTTATATTATATATATAAATATATTTAACATAAAACATAACATATTTTTCATGAATATATACATGCATATGTTTGTATTTATATGTACATAATAAATATACACAGTATGCACACATATTACGTAAACAAAAACTTATTTTGGATGCGATTAATCGTTTGACAGCACTAATATATATATATATATATATATATATATTTGGGCTGCACGATAAATTGCATGCGATATTTAACACGCATCTCCATCACCTGCGGCTTTTCACATTGAGCAGCATTAACTACTCAGAGCCGTTGTTCACTGATGAGCTGCGCAATAGTAGCTGTTCATATTTGCGCGATTTTTGGCGCAGCTTGCATGCTGCTCAATGTGAAAGCCCGCAGGTGATGGAGATTTACCGCTGATTACAGAACCGGCTTTTCTGACAAGATGCGCGTTAAATATCGCATGCGATTTATCGTGCAGCCCTAATATATATATATATATATATTACATGAACAATTTCAAAAATTTAGAACTAACTGAAAAAGATACATTTAAGCTCAAAAACTAAAATTACTAAAACTGAAATTAAAGCTAAATAATAATAATAATAATATTAACAACAACAACAATGAAAAAAGCACATTACAAAATTACTAAAACTTAAGAAAAGAAAAGAAAAGTTTTCAACTGTAATAATATTTCACAATATTACTGTATTTTTATCAAATAAATGCAGCCTTGGTGAGCAGAAAATATATCTTTTATAAACATTATTTCAGCAAATCATAATTTTATAATAATAATAACTTAAATTATAAATAAATACATTTATAATTGTAAAATATTAAATATAATATTACAATGAATAAAAATTGAGAGATTACATCATGTCATATTTTGACTTTTAAAACTATGAGTGGGACTATTAAAGTCAACTGCAAAAAAAGCAAAAACGATTTTAAATTTTATACACGACTTTACAGTTAATTATAAATGGAAAATAGAAGGCTGTTAGATAACACAATAGTATTATTATTACAATTATTTTTACATTTTCCGCAAATATAGATTATTACGATCTAAAATCGGAGAAAGCACAATACGTCAGAAGTAGGATAGAAGTATTTTAGCAATTAATTGCGTTAGTATTCGTAGTATTTTAACATGAAATGACACACTTAACCTTTTAACTTTTTATAATCAGATCTAGAAAGATGTCTGACGTTCAACTAGCTGGGTCAATGAGATTATTGAGTATTAACCCGCGATCATTCAGATATCTGAACCTTTAACTACAGATTCCTTATCAGCAGATCAACCGATGGTCAGACTGAAACACTGACGCCTTATGCCGAGTTCACACTGCACGATTTTAGCCCGATTTTTCACTCGCCGACAGGTTTTGCGAAATCGGCGACAAATCGGTGCTCATTCACGCGAAAACAACAAAGATGCCAGATGACAAACAGACTGTGAGAATATCACAGGACAACTAATGCAGCCTGTGCTGTGTCTGTGTGCATCAGTCAGCAGCTTACACTTAATACACTTCAAATGTCAAATAAATTGAGAGAAACCCGTTATTTCAAATTGTAAAATTTCACAATATTACTGTCTTTACAATATATCAAATAAATGCAGCTTTGGTGAGCGTAACAGACTTCTTAAAAAAAGTTAATCTTAAATGAAATGTTAGTTAAATTCATATTATTTAAGCATGTTATAATTTCATAATAATAATGTGCGTGTATAATTTTAATATATTATTATTATTACTAAATTATGAGTATAAATTAAGAGACTACGTGCAATATTTTTATTAAATTGTGCTTTTACCAAACAGCAGAACTATTAGTCAACTGCAAAAAAAAAACATTAATATTTATTATTATATAATGTATATATTTGTTTATTATTGTTTAGTGCATGCCATGTTTTTACTTTTTTTTTTTTAACTGTGCATTTTTCACACTGCAGATTTATTAGTGAACTGCAAAAAAAAATTTAAAATCATAAAATGAAATTGTAAGGTTGATTAAAAGTGCATTTGTCAAATACCCTGTAAAAACCCGACCAGTGAATAATATATATGCTTTAATGCATAATTATTATATAATGCAACATATATGTTTGTTTATTATTGTTGTTTTATTGCATTCCATGTTTTTACTTTTATAAATTGTGCATTTGTCCCACAGCAGCTTTATTGAAATTAACTGCAAAAAAAAGTGTATGTGTGTGTAAATGCAAAAGAAAAAACAAGTAATATACATGCAATATACAATATATATACACAAACACACATTTTATATTTACATTCATTTTAACCAAGACTTTTTGACAAGTTATTTGTCAAATGTACAAGTCTGAGATGAGATCCTGACCTTTTGCATTGTATATTTTAATCATCTGTCATGTTAGTTGTTGTTTTCCCTTAATATGGAAAATGCACTTATTTCACTTGTTGTGCACAAAGCATAGCGGCAGCCCAGCATGTCCTGATCAAATATATTCAGAAACATGAGTGTTTTTCTTTTAATGCATTTCAGCTTGATTATGCGGCCTTTAGTGCGCATGAAGAAGAATCCCAGGCGACCAGAGCCTCTCAGAGCCTCTCAGAGCCTCTCAGGGCAGGCCGTTATAAAGTTATAGAGCTCCACTCGGTTGTGACATTAACAGGAGTGGCGCTCTGGCCTTCAGCGTGTCACCAAACATGCGCGGATCCACCCTTCACCAGCGACAACTAACTAACTAACTAACTAACTAACTAACTAACTAACTAGCTAGCTAGCGTTAACTGGCGCAGCAGCGACCATGACACGTCTGCAGCCGAACCGAACTCATCTGACCCAAAGCTCCCCCTCATCAGCACAAACCCCGCTGAACTCCCCCAAACTACAGCTCGAACCCCTCCGAAGCGCTCCTCCCGAGTTCCTCACCTGGAAGGGATTGACGTCGACTGAATCTTCAAACGGGTTGGAGTCAAATCCCGACATTATAATTGGCTTTATCCGCCTTTAGAGTCAAACTGAGCGGCACCAGAGCTGCGGTCGCTGCTGCTTCCTCTCGGCACTTCCGCTCTGAGAGCGGGACGCGCGTGCGCTAGGTTCATGTGGTAAACTTTAATATTTTGCATAGCAAGCATTGTATTAACAAATGAAATGTTCTGATTGTGAATTTAAATTCCACCTCTTTTTTTTTAATGGAAAACGATTTTCTAAAAACAGTTTTTGAAAATATTAGCACTTTGTGTAAATTGTATTGATAATTTAGCCTATTTTATTATAAAAATCCGCATTGTTTGTTTATTTATTTATTTATTAGGGCCCAAGCCACTAAGGCGCGGCTCCGTGAACTCCGGGGCTGGAGCGGGCTCCGTGAACTCCGGGGCTGGAGCGGGCTCCGTGAACTCCGGGGCTGGAGCGGGCTCCTGCATCTCCCGGGGAACTGCCAGAGACTTAGACCGACATGAGATCACCAAGTTGCGGTAACCAAGGTAATCAATGAGGCCCCAAAAGTCAAGCATTTTAAGCCCATCCATCTCCCGAGTAGGCACGGGATTGTCTAAACTAACATTAAAGATTTTCTTCAAATCCGTGTCATGAAGTCCCATCCCTACCGCAAGACTCCAAAAGGACTGAGCGAAATCTCCAAAGTCCATCCCCCGTTGGCGAAGGTCCGCCAACATCCGGAGCCGAGCCCTGCGCTCCTTCGAAGGAGGAGGAACCATCCGATCGTCCATGATCCAAAAAGGTAACAAAAACAAACTGCTGGAACTAGTAATGGCGTCTGGATTCTGTCACGGAATGCCAGGAGGAAACAGGGTAAGTTCCATGTGCAGTTTATTGCAAATAATAACAGGACAAAACAGAACAAAACGTTGCAAAATGTAATCCGAAACCTGACACCGACAACACCAACCAAGAAGACAATGTAATCCAGACGCAATGACAGACAGAGTGAGCATGGTATATATAGCAGGGATAATGAGTAAATGATAACAGGTGCTACTGATCAGAGCAGAATTAAAGCAGGGGACTATGGGAAATGGAGTTTAACACATACAACATAGAACAGACAGAGCGCCCTCAAGTGGCCAGTCCAGGGCACCACAACCAACACTGTGACAGAGAGAGACTTTTAAACATATCTTTAATCACCAGAAAAAAAATAATCAGTAATTGTTTTTTGTTTTTTTCATTACAGCTTAAGAACTCTCTTAGGACTTATCCTTTTCTGTCAGTTTTAGGGACAAAAAAATCCTAATACCACTTAATTTGCAGGGCACCGTCAACATAATTTGGTAACACTTTAAAATAACTGCACGCTATGAATTATTTGGTAAGCGTTAGTAAATAGTCAGTTCATCCTTTCTGAAGCATTGTCCCAACATTAATAGTCATTAGTAAGCAGTTTATAAATACAGCTATAAATGCCTTGTTCTTGATTTATAAGCATATCTATTACAAAGGAGATTTAAAGGCTCAGTTATCTTCCTAACAGAAAAAATAAACAAACACAACACAGAGGGATACATAACTCAGAATATTTATTTCAAGATGCAAAATAAATTAAAAAAAATAAATGGTACACTTGATTTTTTTTCTATGAAACTGCAGAAGTTTCTTTTTCTTTTTTTTATCAAGTGAACAGTTGTACAGTTTAATTTTTTCAATCTTGAAAAAATATTTTTGTGTTCTGTATCCCTCTGTGTTGTGTTTGATTAACTTTTCTGTTTGGAAGATTAATGAGATTTTATATCTCCTTTGTAAATGCTTTACAAGGTATAAACAATCCTCACTTTAGATGAGCTCACAAAAATAGATGGCTAGCAACTTCTAAATATTTTATAACTACCTGACCTAATCATGAATTACAGCAGGAATGTGTTAATAAAGCATTTATTAACACACTGAGCAACTATTATCATGTGTTTAAATAATAAGATTTATACATTTATAAATATAAGATTTATAAATGTACATTTAAATAGTTTATTAATCATTTACATACACTTTCTAAATGATCTTAAGAACTCCTAAATAACTGGTTTGTAAATAATGTAATAATTTAGAAATGATAAATTGATCATTAATAAAGTATGAAAATACAATTATTAAACATTATAGATATGCTCAAGAACAAAACATTTATAGCTGTATTGATAAACTGCTTACTAATGCCTATTATTGTTGGAACAATGCTTTATAAAGGATGAATTGACTATTTACTAATGCTTAACTAATGATTCATAGTGTGCAGTTATTATAAAGTGTTACCAATTTTTTAATGTTTAAGTTTTGAATATTGACTGACAATAATACATGCTATATAATTGTTGCTCATGTTAATTAATATAGTTAATGTTAATAACTGAAACCTTATTGTAAAGTGTTACTAAAGTTTTATATATTGTTCTGTGTGTGTGTGTTTCACAGTCTTGATGGTTTTGATTAACCCTTTAATTGCCGTATCCCTTAAAACCAGAATGCCAGAGGGTTATTGTAAATGCATGTGCCCGCTGTGCACCGTTCTCCTGATGCCTCCGGGGTGGCGTTTGCACTGATGGCTTGGGCCCGCCATCGCCGCTTGCAGCTATATTTTTTGTTTGTTATTACAATTGTGTTCATTTGCAATTCGTTTTTCACTTCATTCATAGTCTTATTTAAACTGAATGTTTATATGTTATGTTTGCATTATTGTTGTATTGCAAATATTTTGATAGGATGGAAAAGGCAATGTCATGTATTATAGAATTATTAATATTATTGAGCAAGTTTCATCCAACATAATGTATACAGTAGTACTTGTTTTGTAAACGTGTAAAGCAAAAAGGCTGTTATAGCATATAATATTATTACAATTATTTTTTTTTACATTTACTTATTTTATAGTTTATAATGTTAAATGTTGTTTATTATACTCAATACTGAAGTACTTTATACTCTTCGTTTTAATTATACTGAATTAAATGCTATCTCTCTCTCTCTCTATTGTTTTATAATATGAAAATAATTATTTATATTTACATTTAGTCATTTAGCAGATGCTTTTATCCAAAGCGACTTACAAATGAGGACAATAGAAGCAATCAAAATCAAACAAAAGAGCAATGATATACAAGTGCTATAACAAGTCTCAGCTAGCTTAACTCAGAACATGTAGCAAAGTTTTTTTTAAAAATATATAATAAATAAAAAGAAAACAGATAGAATAGAGCAAGCTAGTGTTAAAGGCCTTTTTTTGCTTTTGTTAATTGTATAATAAATAAAAAGAAAACAAATAGATGGCATACAAAAACATTAGAGAAGCTAGTTTTAGTTGATTTTTTTTGTGTGTTTGTTTTTTTTTGGTAAGAAAACAAGCAGTTAGTTAATGAATAGAGTGCAAGTTTTTTAAAGAATAGAATTAGAATAGAGAGTGCTAGAGTTAGAGGGTCAAATAAAAATGGAAGAGACGTGTTTTTAGTCGATTCTTGAAGATTATAATTATATATTTATAATTTATTTATTTATTTAGTGATTTATCAGACGCTTTTATCCAACACTGCTTACAAATGAGGACAACAGAAGCAATCCATTGTAGTATTAAAACAACTAAAAACAGACCCAAAACTAAAAGCTAAAACTATAAATACTACCTATACACATTTAAAAAATAAAGAGATTAAATAAAAATGACAAATGCATACACCAACATTTCAAAACTTAACATTTAAATGAAAAACAAAAAGTAAAGCTAAAAACAATTCAAAATATTAAAGAACAAAAGGTATAAGAGTATAATAATGATTCTAACAACACTAAGCCAAACACCAAAAAAACAACAACTACATATATGTATGTACAACACACACATATATATATATATACATATACAAAACACAACAAAATAACTACAATTAAATGAAAATGGAAGATATAAAAATTAGTGCTGTCAAACGATTAATCGCATCCAACATAAAAGTTTTTGTTTACATTATATATGTATGTGTATTGTGTATATTAATTATGTATAAATAAATGCACACACATACAGTATATATTTTGAAACGTTTATACATTTATATATTCGTATTCTTATATTTTATATTATATAAATATATTTAATTTATAAACATAACATATTTTTCTTAACTATATACATGCATGTGTTTGTATTTATATATTCCTAATAAATATACACAATATACACTCATATATTATGTAAACAAAAACGTTTATTTTGGATCGCAATTAATCGTTTGACAGCACTAATAAAAATAAAAACTATTTTAATATTAATAATAATAATAAATGTAAAACATGAATAGAAACTATAATAGTATCTCAGTGATACTAAAATAAAACTGGGATACAGGTTTCGAACAACTAAATGATGACAAAAAATTGGGGTGAACTGTTCATTAAGGGGTTTGTTAAAATCCCCAAGCATAAATATTGTATGAGTCATAATGATCTAACTTTATAAAGCTCCAATGATTAAGTAATCCATCACCTTCAAACGCATTTTTAAAATCGCTGTCACGGTTATAATAAGCAGTTCGTCTTTGGGCCGGTCACCTGCACCACTGCCTGTCATCTAATGCACCCAAGCATAAAAGCTTCTACTGAGGATGACCGCTGAAAATGCTAGACAGCATCACTCAGTGGGCAGAAGCCCAGTATGGCGCCAGGTTCGGTCTCAGAGGGTGATGAGATTATTATACGGTTACACAGACAGATATTGGGACTATAAAGTGATTCATAAAAACATGGTTTGTAGGACAAGCAGATGGACAGGCAGGAAGTGAGAGGAGAAAGAAGAGGAACTAGAGGGACATGCTCTCTGTCCTCTTTTGAGTGCCGCTCATTGGTCTTTTTCGAGCTTGGCGTTTAGCCCAGGCACGCTGAGACACGCTCTCATCTTACCTGAAGACTCGTTTAAATGATCTGCTTACTCGTTTGCACACTTGGCACCGTTCTGAGGGAGCATGAACAGAGGGAAAGAGAGGGGGAAGAGAGTTTGATGTACTTGCTCAGTACGCTTCCTTGATCAGCAGAAGAACGTCTTGGCCATGACAGGTTTTAGGTGTGTATACAGC